CACTCTCCAGTTCTTGTCTCTCATCAAGAGTCAGATCACTCTTCGCTTTGCCGATCTTAACGCCCAGAAACATGATGATCAATCCCGCGCCAGCAAGCGCAGTCGCAAGCCAAAAAGCTACCTTGTAACTCCCCCTTCGTCCCCTCTCCTCCGTTTCGCTGACTGCGAGGTCTGCAAACGAAAGGAAAACAGCGATACCTAAGAACAACAAGGAGTTCATGAAAGATCCCGCTAGCCCTTGACGCGCTTTTGGTAGCGATGTTGTGATGAAGATGTTGGCGACGTTGTAGGTGATGTCGATACCGAGTGTAGCGCAGATCATAGCGGGGAAGATGTAGGCCCAGTAATTGAAGTCGACAGGGAGAATGGCGAATAGAAGCGTCGATAGAATGTACGCGGTACCGCTGATGAGAAGGAGGATGCGGCCTGGGAGGAGGTGCAGAATCAACCCGCCAACGGTCGCTAAAATCAGTCCGCCAACACACATGGGTGTAAACCATGCGGCGGTAAGCAGCGGACTGGCGCCTGCAACCTCTTCGATATAGAAGCTCGCATAGAAGATGAAGATTCCGAAGGTGCCGTACTGGAAGAACAGCGCAAGCGCGAGTGGCTTCATACCCTTGACACGGAATAGGTCAGGGGGTAGGAGAGGCTGTTCAGCGACCCAGCCTTCGATGTAAACGAATGCACCCAGGAAGATCCAACCGATGACAAAGGTGACCGGTATATAAGGTGTCGCCCATCCTTGTGGTGCATGGCTTCCATCCGTGAGTGCAAAGACCACTAGGACCAAACCTGGCACTACAGTCGCTGTGCCCCACCAATCCATCTTCACCCCCTTCCCTTCCTGTTTTGCCTTCTCTTTCTCTTCTTTCGGGTTGGGAATGCAAAGGTACGACGCAACGGCCACGATAGCGAGGATGATCGACCCTATCCAGAAGAACCAGCCCCAACTCATGAACTGAGCGGCGACACCAGCGAAGAAGATACCAGTGAAGAAGCCAACTGGCGCAAAAGCACCGTACAAGCTGAAGACGAGGTTCTTGCGCGGCCCAGGACGGTAGATAGAACCCAGCAGCATGATACCGCTAGGCAAGAAGGCCGCAGGACCGAAACCCTGCAGCGCTCGACATACGATAAGCATGACATAGTTTTGCGAGAAGCCTGCTATGATCGACCAGATCAAGAACCAAGCCAACCCGATGTTGAAGACGATGTATCCTCCAAACATATCAGACAGCCGGCCAAAAGGCAGTAGGAAGGCCCCCGTCACCAGCGAGAAGACGGAGGCTGGCCATGTTTGCGCGTTGGAGGGTATATCGAGAGCGGAGGTCAGGTCGGGGAGCAGGATGTTGAAGCCGGAGATCATGTACTCGGCTACAAACATGGAGCCTAGCAGGGCGAAGCAGAAACCCAGTTCGTGAGGGAGAGAGCGGAAGGCTGAGGGGCGTTCGCGGCCGAGTCGCTCGATGTCAGATGGGCTGTATGAGTCGCCATGTTGTGGTGGGCTTCCTTCTTCGGCCTTTTCTAACATGGGGGCTGAATTGTTGGATGGTATCGCGTCGCTTGGGGTATGTGCGGTGGTCTCCATCGAGTCGCTGGACATGGTAGTGGTTCCCGTGATGGGCTGGCTGGTATTAGGTGCAGTGAAAGTTATCGTAAAGCCATCTAGATACGTTGTCTTCGAGTCGCCCAGACACGCTAGGAGAGATGAGAAGCTATGAGTCGATATGGCAGAAACTTTGAAGAGGACCCAATTCGATCACAGTCTCATTCTTTCTATATGTTGTTTTCGGACTCCGAAATGACCGCGGACATTGTTGCTATGTGTAATCGAAGACATTTACTCGGGTGCTGAGCCTCAGAGCATACAGCCAAAGGCAAATCCTAGCGGTGACTGTGACGTCTGAGCATAAAGCCGTCACGATGTGGACCGTCGATGCAAAGATTGAGTCTTGGCTGCTGCATCGAGCCTAGACGGATCTATCGAGGTCTGGGGCGAACGGCAAGTCAAGCGAACCATGCGCGCAATTCCCCTCCTAAACCCGTCTTTGTCAGCGCCCGGAGACATGCGATTTGCTTGCTTCATCCTCGGGCTGCGCACTCGGTCAACATCGGTTTCTGTAGCTGCAGTCCAACAGGTGTGACGAAATCCTGCATCCATATCAGTCTTGAGGGCGTTAGTAACCCAGTGAACCCGACCCTTCGACCGCCACAAGCAACGCGAAAGATCTCCACCCCACCAAACCTCAAGCACCTCAATACAGTCAACCGTCCACACATCTCGCATGGCGACCATCCAATGAGCGTGACGCCCTTCAATCTTCCGACCAAAGCGTGCCACAATTGCCGGAAGCGACGATGGAGGTGCGACCGGTCGCTGCCAAGCTGCCAGAAATGTTTGTCAGCCGGAACGGAATGTCTGGGTTATGGCAAGTTGTTTGTGTGGAATCGCGGGGTTGCGAGCCGGGGCAAGATGATGGGGAAGGGGTATGAGGAGAAGATGGAGCACGATGCTGGTGGTGCTGCAGCTGCGACGGAAGGGGCAGCCAAGACTCACGACATACCGCCGAGGTTGGTTTGGGAGCACGAGGGCTCATCGCAACAACACCAAGTACCGGAGACCGAATATGAAATCGTGCCCGCAGGATCGGTACCGGAATTTGCCCGCACGTCCCCGCAGGAACAAGATCAGACCATGGCCATGACTGCTGGCGTGCACCGACAGATGACAGACCCTTTGGTTAATGATCTCGATCGCAACTCGCGATACTACCTCTACCACTTCGCAACACAGCTGTGCGAAGTCATGGTTGTGTACGATGAGCCTGGACAGAATCCCATCCGCGACCTCATCCCCGCGACCTCTGCCTACCCGCTGCTCTTGCAGATCATTGTCGCAAACTCGGCGTTTCACGTCTTCAATATTACGCGCAACCCCATGGGCCAGTCAGCTTACCAAGGCGAGCGGAGCCCGACCGTGATGGCTTATTACCAAGCTGTGAGCCGGTTTGGAGGTCCGTTGAAGTCGTCCTACAGAGACGCACTCGTGGCGAAGCAGCAAGCGCTCTCCTTGCTTGCAAAGAGCGTGACTTGTGTGAACACCTCGAACATTGACCTCATATTGATCACTATCCTGCTGTTTGTCAACTATGCTCTGGTAGAGTCAGGCAGAGATAAGTGGAAAGTGCACATGGATGGTGCGCTGAAGCTCATCAAACTTCTGGGTGAGCCCGAGTATATACAACGGCCGATGAGTAGGCTTCGCCAGACGATTCTTTCAGACTTTCTTGTATTCCATATCCTCGGATCGACTTTCAGCTTCACGACGCTTCCTGCATTGATTCCAGAGACCATCGAGTTGGACCCCATTCTTCGTTACGCGGAAACGAATAACTATCTCTCTTGTCCTGGGCCGTTGTTGCGTGTAATGCTCGAATCCTTCGCCTTACCGGATAGTCATGGGTCGCCCTCTGAGACCACCACGCCCATATATCTCCAAGAGCAGGTGGGCGTACTCCTGCAACGCGCGCTCGACTTCGATCCCATCGCATGGTCTTTTGAGTTCGAGCGTGCATCGCCATTCGACGATATACAGAAACGGATTCGAATAGCGTCGGCACATCGATCGGCAGTCTGCATTTATCTCGCTCGCGTACTACCTTCCACAAACCCTCTTCTCGATCCAGCAAGTGGCACAGCTCTCGTCAGCCTCACCGCTCTCGCCGACGACGTCGTTAATCATATTTCGCATCTTGAACCTGGAGACGCACTCTTCAAATCAATCTGCTGGCCGTTGTTCCTTGCTGGCGCCGAGTCGGAGGACCCTAGTCAGCGCGAGTGGATCATGAACACACTGGACGAACTTTATGGTCAAATGTTCTGGGGCTACCTGCATACGTCAAAGCGCGTGTTGGAGGCCATTTGGCGATTCAAAGACTCAGCTGGACCTGGTGCCGGCAACTGTTGGGTGGAAGAAGTCAAAGACCTGGGCAACGACATCTTGATCGCTTGAGCATTTGCAGCGGCCAAAGACAAAGTATTAATGTGCGAAATAACAAATGCGAATGTGCGACCGGGGAAAATGTGCCCGCAACGGATTACTAGCATGCAGGCGGAACGTAACCTGGGTGGTAGTTACACCACATTGCAAACCCAGATCCTGGGGTGCACCTGCCGTGACATTCGCTTCTCACGCGCCAGTCGGATCCCCATGCGAAGAAGCAATCTACTGCTGGGATTCCACAGACCATTTCTAGTCAAGATCGATGGGTGCGATGGCAGGCACCAGCTAGTCTAGTCCGGTCGATCCCCAGGTGGTCGGTAGCGGGGTATTCGTCACGGGTACCTCAAGCTGCGTGCACCGTGTTATACAAGCACCTGGCTTCTCGAAACATTCAATGCGCATCGCTCAGGTTGTCTTACCACCTCTTTTGAGTTCTGGATCGCATATCCGCGTTACCTCGAAACCCTATCGTATGCTTCGAGCTGCTTTGACGCCAAGACCTTCAAAGTGCTGCTCTCGTGCGAAACTCTATCATGCGCATATGGCACGCCATCGGACTTCAACTCGGATGGGTTGTATATACGCTCTGCACGGCACATTCGACGCGTTTACCTTTCTCCTATCAGTTATCAGCACCTCTGGATGCGCACCAGCTTGATGGAAAGCAGGTACCGTTGCTCGCTCAGAGGTAAGACCACACGAAGATTCTTTTATAAGAAAATATGTAGCCTCCGCCTGTCGTGGCTTATTCTGTGTAATGCTCGCTCTTGCAAGTACATTAGCGCATGCGGGTGTTGCCATTCTCGGACTTCGACGGAGTGTACTTGCAAGCCCCGCCCCTTGGCTCACTCTTCAAACGTTATTCATAGCCCGAACAGCGTCTTCAATATTGTTTTGTATCGTCGCTTTCGCGTAGCATCAACGCGTACAGCTTCTAAAGTCCAGCCTCGTCATGTTTTCTGCATCCTTCCTTCATCTGCTCCTTCCCAGCTTTATGTTCATTACTAAGGTATATGCGCAAAGCAACAGCAACGACGTATTCAATCCCAAGGGGCGCACAAAGCTCGCGCTTGAAACTCTACAAACGTGGTACAACACAAGTACCGGCCTATGGGAGTCGACTGGATGGTGGAATGGTGCGAACATCATGACAATGATTGGCGACTATGCGGAATCAGATACTGAAGATGGTGAACTGCAGGACCTGGCAAGCAATATCTTTGCGACTGCGTTGTTGAAGGCACCGATCAAAAATCCAGACGCGAGTATTGATGAACTGTGTGCGTATAGCACAACGCCAACTGTTGGCAACGCGACGTGCCATCAGACTGAATACACGAAGAAACTCGATCCGATTACCAACGAGCCTCACACATTCTATCCGGCTGGCTGGTACGCTAATGGGGGGTCTTATCCTACCAGGCCAGATCCTAAAGACTGGCTAGACGGCTACTACGACGATGATCTCTGGTGGGCGTTAGCCTGGATCAATGCATACGACGTCACCTTGGATCCCACGTATCTCACCCTCGCGGAAGGCATATTCCTCGCTGTATCGCGTACCTGGGGTACTTACTGCTCTCATGGCGGTATCTACTGGAATTGGGAAAGGGACTACGCAAACGCGATCGCCAATGAGCTCTTCTTCAGCGCAGCTGCGCATCTGGCCAATCGCGTCCACCACGATGGAAAGAAGACTTTGTATCTGTATTGGGCGGAGAAAAGTCTACCCTGGTTCCTTGGAAGTGGTATGATCAACGAAGGTGGTACTATCAACGATGGATTGACGGAAGATTGCGGCAACAATAACAAGACCGTTTGGTCATACAACCAGGGCGTTATCTTGGGGGGACTGGTCGAACTTTACCAAGCCTCGAATTCACCCAGTTTGGCATACCTCATTCTCGCATCGGAAATTGCGAATGCGGCGCTTGTCGAGCTTTCGGATGAGAACGGTGTCATACACGACGAATGCGAGCCGAATTGTGGTGCCGATGGCGCCCAGTTCAAAGGCATCTTCATGCGTAATCTGGTAAAACTTCATACTGTTGCACCGGAAAAAGTGTTTGCGAACGCTATTCGCGTCAATGCGGAGTTCATCTGGGAACGAGACAGAGCGGTGACAGTTGACGGCTTACCTGTGTTCAGTGTAAACTGGGCAGGGCCGTGGGTCACTCCGGCGAATGCAAGCACGCATAGCTCGGCGATGGATGCACTTGTTGCCAATATAGCCATCGATTGAGAATCTAGAATCAAGATTGCAATAGAAGAAACCCGCTCATTTGATTCATCTTCATTGCTCACGCGTTGCTATTATTTGCGCAGACCGACCCATCCATTTCGGCGAATAGTCAGACATCTAAGTCCAGCACCACTACTGCGAAATGTCTTCAATCTTGATTTCGCCTGTACCGTTCAAGAAGTCCATCTTTCCAACATCAACGCCCTTCATCCTCAGTATGTCATACGCAGTCACGATGTGGAACCTAAAATCATCAGCAAAACTACATTACGAGCCTGAACCCTCAAGCGAATCTTCACTTACCACATGTTCGGATGCGCAAACCTGGTGACATAATCCAGCGCCGGCAGCCTCATCTGCTTGACACCGCCAAACTTGACGACAACCTCGTCATCATGCTTACCCTCGAAGTCCTTCTCCGAGAAGCCCTCAAGGTACTTGATGGTTTTCTCAACGCGAGCCAGTAACTCGGGGAAGGTCTGCTCCTCGTCGGGTAGAGTCATGCCTTCCAAGGCAGGGTTCACGCGAGAAGGAATGAACTTGGCGGCGTCGGTGAACCGGTAAACCTGGTAGCGGAAGTCCTTCATGTCCGGGTGAATAGATGCAGTGAGGAAGTCATTGGGGTCGGTGGCTTTGGCATGCTCGTAGCCTTTGTTGATAAAGAAGTGTGCGTTCTTGAGGCCGGTGATGACAGGAGCGATGGCGACCTTGTGGAATGAGAGAGCCATGTTGGGTGGTGGTTTGAGATTGAAGGAAGTATTGAAAGGGTGAGGATAGTGGCAATTTCAGTTCTTGTTGATGCTGTTGATTGATACTAGTAGTTGCCCTGGCGGGGTAGTCGACTATTTATGCTCCACTTCTTTCTATCTCGCACCTTCTCTCAGCCCTGGAGTACTTCGTACATCAAGCTCACTACGCTCCACTTGGCATCATCACTCCACCGTTCAGCCCAAAGCGGACCAGATCCAACTCTGATGGTTACACGACTGGCGGTGATTACGGTCTGGATTACAAAGCGGGTGGATTGCAATCTGGTGGAGCTCAGGATTGACCAATCAGATCGTGACGCGATTGACCGGACCCACCTTCGCACCGTCGGCGCGAGGCAGCGACAGGAGAGATGCGCGACTGCGGTGAGACTACATACGACGCAGGGCCACTATATTCGATATGCGCCCTTTTCTTGGGCTATTGCCCTGGTTCAAATATAGGAGAGTGCTGACAAAAGTCGCAGAGTTCCGCGCGGTTTAGGCCTTTGGATGCCTGACATCGATCGTGTCAGACCTCTCTGCGTGAGGAAAGTGCGCCTTGCTTTCCTTGTGCGACAATCTACGGACGAACACTCGTGCGCTCTCCTCTGACACTCAGATTGCATTTCGCGATTGGACGATATGGGAGGGTGTCATGTCTGTCAGGTTCATAGGCACCGACCTTGTTCTCAAAAGCCTTGGGTATGTGGGCAGGCTGCGAAGACCTTTTGTCGATGCTTGAAGATCACGGTGGACGCAAAAATTACGAACAAGCACTCAATATTCATTCAGTCGATGATGTCTCTGTCGAGAGTCTTGGTGTTGACGGCAAGGTGCTACTAAGCCCTGAGCGAAACGAACGTGTTGCCGTTGGCAGTAGGTGACAATCGTCTTGGTCATGAGCATCAGACCAGTGCATGGCGTTTTTTATGATAGCTCAGAGAGCAATCTGAGCCTGACGCATTTCCACACCACAGTTCAGCTCATACAACCCAAACGACCCAAACGACCCACACGACCCATACGACCCATATTTCGAGCCTTTTCGGCAGACCAATATCTTTGCGTGCGATCAAACGTATGGCTTGCACTGGCTTTGATGGCCGACAGACCACCCGAAAGACTCATCTGAACCGATTACTGTTCGAGACTGTCTATCGAACACCGCTTGTAGCGACCATATCGTCAAGTTGTTTGGATGCACATGCATTGTTTCTTCATCAAGCTTGCCGTTTTGGGGTCACAATCTGTTTGTTCAACCGCTGAACAGCAACCAACATGGCATATATCAGAGCCCCATAGTCCACCTGTTCATGAGTTATAGACACAGATTCGCACAGTTCCACTTACTTCCTAATCGTTTACCACGAGAGAGGCTGACATGGGACCCAAGCCAGCGAACAAACCGAAGCGAACGCCCAAAGATAACCCATCCCTGGGAAAGATCGACAGCCCTTACGTTCCACCACCTGTAGATGACCCTCCAGTTGTGCCGAAGTATGGTCTATGCAAGAAGCCCGCCAACCCCAGAAAGACTCCCAATGACGGCGCCCAAATGATGATCCGGAGCAACTACGTCAAAGTCACAAAGGTACCCGAGAATCTCCACGTGTACTCTTTGGCCTTCTTTCGAACCAATCAAGAGGGGGTTCGGATGGAGTACAACAAACGTCGCGAGATCCGGGATGCATTCCAGGCCATGATCAAGGTCGATGCGCTACAACTCGAGGCTGACGGTATGGAACGGGTGACTGACTTCAAGACACTCTGGACGACTAAACCAATCCATGGTCGTGAAGAGAAGGACTACACGTTTCTGAGCCAGCCCTTTGCATACACTCAACAGAATGGCATAACTGTCACTAACATGCAAGCGGAAGTTTGTTATGTCGGCCATCTTAGCGATATCGAGAACGCACTCCGAACGAAGCATCTCGCGTCATTGCCTGAATACATCCGTGCTCTCAATGCCAATGTAGCTCAATGCATTGAAAACCGCCAAGCTACAACAGAGAAGAAGGTCAGCCGCGTAGGAGCGAACAAGTTTTATGTTTCCAATGGTTACAAGGAGATGAGAGGCTTACTGGCAGGTCGCGGCTACTTCACTTCGATTCGTCCTGGCGCCGACGCAACCCTCCTGAACATCAACCCAGTAACTTCCGCTTTCTTGCCGCCTGTAACAGTCTCTGAATTCATCAAGAAGATTGGCACTAACGAGCATGCTCGTGCCTACGCTAGTCAGCTGTTGCATGGAGCGACAGTCAAGATCCGGTACCAAAGATCGAACTACGTTGGCAGTGATGTCGACTACAACTCTGATGCAGCTCGACTAAAGATCTTCAGTCAGATCGGGCCATACTGTGCTCACCAGCAGAAGTTCTATGAGCTGGCGGACAAAGTGGAGGACGCACCTAGGAAAACGAAACCTACCGACAGAGGAACTACCGTTCTCAAATACTTTACGGACCGTAAGTTTACTAGGCATGAGATGTTTTCCTTGCACTAACCAGACGTCAGACGCAAAGGTGCAATTTCCGGCCGGAACTGCTCAATCATCACCTGAGATGTATTGCATCAACGTTGGAAAACGTGTCAAGACCAAGAAGATGGACAATTCACCGCCAGAAGATGGGCTGATGCGATCCCAAAGCGCGCAAGGTGCGCTATGGATACCTGCTTGCTTGCTTCAAATCATACCAGGACAAGTCATCAAGACAACGTTGAACAACATGCACACCAGCGAGATGATTAGGCACGCATTACGCCTACCCGCCGAGAATGTTGGTTTACTTGAAGAAGAGGGGCTTGATATCATGGGTGTTAGGGCTGGCAGCGATGGTCAGCAGCCGTTGGTAAGTGATTTGCTTTCCGATCATATCCATCTAGATCCGCTAACAGCCCTATGGACCTCAGTAGGTTTCGAAGTCGATGACGAACTTATCGAAGTTCCCGCTATCCAACTTCCCCAGCCGAAACTGTCATACGGTGCGTCGTCCCCCGAAAAGATTCCGAAGCTTGGATCCTGGGACTTGCAGGATGTTACGTTCGCCGCCCCAGCAAAGTTCAAGGACCTCTGGATGCTGACAATGCCGAACTGCTTTGGCAACAAGAAAGCTACAGTTATAGACGTCTACTCGGCCCTCGCCAAGCGCCTAAAGGCCCATGGTCTTCAATTTGAAGATGGTCTCAAGTATGACCCAGAGGGAAAGCCTACTGACCATAGCGATCATATTTGGGCCCGGGAGACGCTCTTCGATGATGAGGCCAGCCATGATGATGAGGAAACCGTGAGGAAGTTCCTCAACTACCATGTCACCGGCCCTAACGATTGCGGCTTCATCCTCATTCCAGAAAAGAGCTACGAAACCTATGCAATGGTCAAAAGGATTGCAGACTTTGGCGGCAGAAACATCCTCTTGGCAGTCGGCTCCAAGTTTCTACAGGCCAAGCCAGACCAGTTTCTGTCGAACCTCGCTCTCAAAGTGAACATTCGATTCGGTGGAGATAACCATCATTTCAGTCCGACGGACTTCAACAAGATCTTGAGTCTGGAGACAAGAAAGAACACGATCGTGATCGGCGCGGATATCGCCCACTGCGGTGGTGGTGGTAAGGAGGGAAGCCCAAGTATCGCCTGTCTTGTCGGCAGCAACGACTCTGCCTTCATGTCATACCCTGGCTCCATGAGACTGCAACGCGGCGGCCAAGAGGTAAGTGTGGCCTGTATATAAGACCCGTAACAACTGGCTAACTTTAGCAGAACATCGACAACGATCACATGTATTCGATGATTCAGGAACGTCTTCGAGGGTGGCAGGCACTCTACAACTCAACCATGGCAAAGCCCGACTACAAAAAATGGCCTAGCAATATGATCTTCTTTCGAGATGGTATCAGCGAAAGCCAATTCCAATCTTGCATCGACGAAGAGATTAAGACTATCAAGAGGGCTTACAAGGATTTATGCACCCGAGGCCTGACCTTGACCTTCGTCGTTTGCGGCAAGCGCCACCACACACGCTTCTACGCAACAGAAGAGAAGCAGACATACACGGAGAAGAGCCTGAACGTTGGTGGCGACAAAATCCCAAATGGCATCAATGGAAATTTGCAACCTGGACTTCTCGTCACCGACGTAGTCACGAACCCAGTTCCGTTCAACTTCTTTCTCCAATCGCATAAAGCCATCAAGGGAACGGCTCGATCGGCGCATTACCACGTACTGGAGGACGGCATGAAACTTGGTCAGAAGCGTCTTCCCGAGTTGACAATGATGCTCTGCTATGCCTTCAGCCGTGCGACGACAGGTGTCTCGTACGCTGCGCCTGCCTATCTAGCGGATCGTTTGTGCGAGCGAGGTCGTGTTTATCTTCGCGCCTGGAACCTGGATCCCGAAATGAAGCCGACTCTAAACATTCCCGTGGAGAAAGACGAGAAGGGTAAACACAAGCGCCCTACTCAGGAAACGATCGATGAAGCGAAAAAGGTGTTGGCGCACGACATCTCCACCACTGTGTCCATATGGGGTAAGCACTACGGTACGAAGCCGCCGACTCTCGATGGCAGGACATGGCTCAATCCGTGGAACCCGAGTCTGCTTGATAGAGCTAGCATGTTCTGGATGTGAGCGCTAGATGCGAACGATGGCCGCGCAGGTTGCTGTTAGTTTCCTTTGTCTTGTGTGTTTTGCTGGCCTTTCTTAATCTCCACGATAGATTTCCTATGTTTGTTTCTGCTGTTCCTTAGACGTCCCGTATTCACCTTACTTTAAATACACTCCCTCAATGACGTTGCCGGATCCATGATGACTCCCAGTTGACAAATTTACATGACTGTGAGATGGTATAATTCGAAGCAAACGTTTCTTGTGAGTCCATCTGGCGATGTACGATTTCTCGTCGTGGAGTGTTGGACGCGCAACACCCCACGTTCGCACGAACGGGAAATTGACGCGTCGAGCCGAGATCGGCAAGCCATAGCTCCCACGCTACATCGTCGCCGTCATCATCAACCTTATAGCCGAATTAGAGATAGGTTTGCCGAAGTAATGAACAAGATGGCCGATCCCTGGTCTCCTTCAATATCCGATGAATTCGTCGTCCGCTCCAAAGGCCCATATACACTCGCATCGCATCACGTCTTGTCGCATCGTCTTGCCCTACCACACCGACCAAAATGACAGACACGAAGACTCCCCACGATCTGAACTGCCTCACCATCGGTGAACTCGAGAAGCTTGCCGCAGAGCGCATGGACAAGCAGACACGCGACTACTACAATGAGGGCGCAGACTCTGGATCGACGCTGCGCGAGAACATTGACGCATACCAGAAGTATCGCATTCGGCCACGCGTGCTTCGCGACATCTCCTCTATCGACACGACCGTAAACGTTTTCGGACACAAGAACAGCATACCCCTCGGTGTCGCACCAACTGCTATGCAGTGTCTCGCACACGACGACGGAGAACTAGCAACCGCACGCGCATGCGCGAACAAGGATATCGTGATGGGCCTGAGTAGCTTCAGCACAACCAGCCTCGAAGACGTGAAAGGCGCATTGGGCAACCACCCAGGAGCCCTACAACTCTACCTCTTCGAAGAGCGCACCCAAAGCCAGAAGCTCATTCAACGCGCAAAGAAAGCCGGCTACAAAGCTGTCATGCTCACGGTTGACACCCCGGTTCTCGGACGCCGGAACTTGGAGATAAGGAACCAGTTCAAGCTGCCGAAACACCTCAAAGTAGCAAACTTCAACCGCGATGAGAAACACGACGAGGGTGTGAAGGTCGAGGAGAAAATCACCTCACCATCCACGGAAGCGAACGAATCGCGCAAACGAAGCGAGACCCCCAGTGCCACCAACAGCAACAAGAGACAGCCGCCAAAAGGTCCGATAAGCTTCCACACCCACGCACCCAACCCGACACTCTGCTGGGAACGCGACATAGCCTGGCTGAAAGAACAATGTTACCCTGAGATGGAAGTCTGGGTAAAAGGCGTTGCGACGGGCGAAGACGCACTACTAGCCTGCCACCATGGCGTCGACGGTATCGTGGTGTCGAATCATGGTGGGCGACAACTTAATGGCGCATTGGCTACCATCGATGCGTTGCCTGAAGTCGTTGCTGCTGTGCATTCACAAGCCGGGAAGAAAATTCCTGTGCACGTTGACGGAGGAATCAGACACGGGACGGATGTATTCAAAGCACTCGCCCTGGGTGCGGACTTCGTCTGGATTGGCAGGCCTATACTTTGGGGATTGGCATACAAGGGGCAAGAAGGTGTTGAATTGGCGCTGAGGTTGTTGAGCGATGAATTCAAGTTGTGTATGGGACTTGCGGGTGTGACAAAGGTTGAGGACATTGGACCAGAGTACTTGGTCAAGATGGATCGAAGTGGATTTGTGAGTCGTCTTTAGAGACTATGAGCATACATTGCCGGGTAGCTCTGAATCTATATACTATTGATACGACTATTGTATATACAAACGGCCTCGGATATGCTACGACACCTACTCTGCCTGCCTCCTGCTTTCGACAAAGTCCACATAGTCGAAGAAGCTCTTCTTGTACCTTCGCACTTGTGTCGTGCGGTTGACACTCTGGATACCAAACTGCTGATCGTAGTCACCAAACTCCCAGTTGTCCGCCCACGACCACGCAAACGCGCCTATGAAATTGACACCGTCTTCCCAGATCGCCTTCAGGCCTTCGTTCAGATATGTCTGGTAATACCAGCTCCTTGGGCTGTCGAATTCTTGGTCTGGCTGGGTCTTCTGCGCTTCGGCGAATACCGGAAACCCAAATTCAGTAACGGCGACCGGAGTACGCCATGTGTTCCAAAGGTAGTTTAGGTAGGTGCGGAAGTAGCTTGGCGTCAGATAGACATAGGATTGACTTCGGTATCCAATATTCCAGCCAGTGCTGGTGAGAGTGCTCTGGGTTACACAGTAAGGTCGGTTGGGATGAGTGATGTTGGCGGCGCAATCAGCGATTGTGTCATTCGGCGGTGGGCTGACTACAGTTGCAGTATACGGTTGGATGGAGAAGAAGTCTGCAGTTCCGTTTATGTACTTTAGATCTTCTTCGCTCAAGGGCACATAGTCAGCAATACTGCTTTTGAATGATTCGGGGTAGTCTATTCCGAGGAAGATGGGGTTTGCAAAGGTAGCCAGCTGGAAGGAATTGAAATGGTTGGCCGCGTCGATGTCGGCGGGATCCTCAGGGTTTCTTGGGACGCCAAAGTTGTCGCTAAAAGTGAGCGAAATTCTGCCCGTTCCAGCAATCTCCTTTTTGTAGAAGTGATAGAGTCTTGCATGAGCCTTGACTACAGCGTTAATCGACTTGCCGTTCCGAGAAGCCAGGAGAGGCTCATTGAAGGTCCACCAGATCGGCACGCGGTCGGCAAAGTGTGTCATGACAATCTTTCCGTAGTTGACGAAACCATCCTCCCAGGACACATTCTTGTAGCTACATTGGAAACAAGAATCTAGATAGCCGATACCTCCGGTTCCGGGCTTAATAAAGACATCGCTGATGTTACTGAAGAACTGGAGAGGGGAGTCGTTGTGGTACAAAACGATAGCGGGATGCATACCCTTCTCCAAAACGAAATTGATAAGATCGTCATAGTGCGCGAGACCTTGCTTGTTGACTGGTGTGCCTGGTAGGACGAATGGAAGAATTCTCGTCCAGGGGATAGAGAATCTGTAATACTTGATGCCCATGGAAGCGATCCGTTCAATATCTTGCTTGTACAAGTAGTAATTTTCGATAGCGGTATAGTCTGGCGCTTGACCTGGGTTGAGCAACCCAGCAACGTCGTTGTGAACGGGTGTCCGCCCCTCGTCGGCGATGGCTCCCTCAATTTGCACTGCTGCTGCTGCCACACCAAGCATGAAGTCTTTGGGGAAAGTGTAGCATTGCTGGGGAGCCAGCGGCTCAGGTGGTGGCAAAATGAGCTCGCTGGTCGGTACTGGAGTTGGTTCAACTGTTGTAGAGTATATTCCGGTGGTGAAGTTGCTCCAAGGTACGGCTGTCCAAAAAGCCGTCCAGGACGCGTTTCCGTATGGGTTCGTCAAATCGGTGGCTGAGGCCGTGGTATTCGAATTCCAGTTGCCCCATTGTGTCGTCGTCAAATTCGGCACCAAGCTGCTGAGTGACGCATACGGCGGCGCATAAGTTGTCGTGGTAGTTGGGGCCGGGGCAGACTTTGCTGTACGGACAGTCTCGGTCTGTGTGAAGCTGAACTCTCGGAAAGTATATGAGGGCAGTGCAGTCGCATATGCGTATGTGTGGTTTGCTGAGCATTGCGGTCGTGAAGCTGGCCCTTCAGCAGGGACGTAGACTTGCTGGGCAAGAGCCACAGCGCCGTACGCTAGAAGTGCTTGAGGCTTCATGATGATAGCCAAGGGATGCTTGATACATCTTGGTCTACCAAACAGAGCTCTTTATACGTCTGTGGCTTTCCAATCGGGCCGTGGGACTGATTCTGACGGTGGTACTCGCCGTCATTCGGCATGTGCAATTCCTTGTACCATCACAAAACATCGCAGCCCTAGTCCCTTCGTGAGTTAATACGAGGATACGATGCGGCCTTGATCCCTTTCTGGGCTTCGGCGGATCAAAATGCTCGGTCGAGGTCGGTCGGGCCCGGTGTCGGTAGTGCTTTGCGGGGATTTGCGGGGTTGAGCTTGGTGTGATGACGGCCGGCATGCAACGTCTAAGCTCCAACGTTGCTTTCCATGATTTGATCAGACTCAAGGTCATAGCAAGTCTCGGGATATCTCAGTGCATGTTGCGTCGCCGGCCTTACGCAAACAAGATTAGCATGTTCTCCGCAGAGGATACTTCCGGGGTTCAAAGGTTCCCTGTTTGTGCCCGCAAGTCAACGCGTCTTCAACTCTCTCGGTATATGATTGCGCGACGTCGCCAACTGACAACCAAAACTTCGTGGATGCCTGGTTGCATGAATCGAGTGCCCATAGTAATGTTTACCCAGTCTCCACCGCAATAGTTGCTGCCAAGACAAGGGCCCGAACGTCTGAGCCAGGTGCATCGATCGGACTAGCAATCACATTCGCTCATGCAGTATCCTGCTCCCGCAATATGCTATTACCAAGCAGTACGACTTATAGCTGCTCAACCCGCGTAGCATGTCTATACTAAGATGCGCTCATGATAAAGACGTGTCGCGTACTTGACTTCAATTGATGACCCACGTCCAAGACCGAGTCCTTGGGAGAATGTCGTAAACTATAGGTGCACTTGGAATCCTGTGGCAGGTATCCGTACAAGCCATCAAGCTGTTCCGCCTTTGACCTGTAATGGACTTTTTGGCTTGTCTGGCCGCTTCGCTCCCGACGAGAAGTGCAGCAAGCGCTTTCGGGATGCCATGGTGGTTCATCGACAAAAAGCAGTCTTGCCGACTGTCAAATTACAGGGTATTTTGTTCTGATCGGGCTCCCGTCGAAACTAGACAAGGCAGAGTCTAAGTTTGCAACTCCTTTTGCTTCAAAGCATTGCTGATGTCGTGATTCTTGTCAAGCTCAGGCTCGCTGCCACTACAAGTCTACAAACGGATAGGAATGAGCAAAGACCATGAGTCGCATGGACTTGAACATAGAATATCGTAAGTGTATAGTTGGAGGTTTGAGCACTTTTGGTGTTGGTGTTGGTCTCGAGAAGCAGAAGATGACGCTAGCGGGGTCCGTGCGCCCACACGAATTTCGTCGTTGCCAACCCACTTGCCGAACTTCACGACGCTCACGACAACTCCAGCGACGACGCATCCGAAACCCGCCCAAATCGAATATCCCCCCGATAATCTACCAAAATGTCTGGAAAGCGCGGGTACGTAGTCCTCAGCGATAAATTGGGCAGTTTGAGGCTGTCATGCAGAGGAATGCTGGCTAACGAGTGTGCAGTCGAGGTTCTACCTCCGGTAACAAGCTCAAGATGACTCTTGGTCTGCCAGTGTACGTTTGACCCCGATGCGATCGCTCCGCCGAAAACCTTTCCGTTCGCGAACACGCATACAAGGCACACAGGGAACGCAGGCTAATAGATGCACAGCGGCGCCGTCATGAACTGCTGCGACAACTCCGGTGCCCGCAACCTGTACATCATCTCCGTCAAGGGTATCGGTGCGCGTCTCAACCGCCTGCCCGCTGGTGGTGCCGGTGACATGGTCATGGCGACCGTCAAGAAGGGAAAGCCCGAACTGAGGAAGAAGGTCATGCCCGCCGTCATTGTCCGCCAGAGCAAGCCATGGAGGCGAGCAGACGGTATCTACCTGTACTTCGAGGACAACGCCGGTGTCATTGTCAACCCCAAGGGTGAAATGAAGGGCTCCGCCATCACTGGACCCGTCGCAAAGGAGGCCGCTGAGCTGTGGCCGGTACGTGTGCACCCGCCACCAAAAGACTCAACACTAACAACATACAGCGTATCGCCTCCAACTCCGGTGTCGTCATGTGAGGTGTCTCTTTTCCTGCTTTCGATCACATTCATGGGTTTACGGGCACGGCGAAAATGCATTTACGGGGTGAAGGATTTGGGAGACGACATTGCAACCACGATTAGCAATGGGACGACCTTCACAATACCAGTCAAATGAACATCACGACCAAAACCACACTTTTGTTCCTCATTGCAGTGACGGATGAGTGACATGGCGGCAGTGCGCCAACAGGATCAACAGCACAATGAGCGCGTCAAGGAAATGTTTTGCGGTGGTCGGACTCTATTGATTGATCTGACATGAAGGCAGGAATTATGTACTCAACCCACGCAAATCTAGACCCTAGGCTCATCGGCTGAGCACGAACTCCTATCGCACGCAAGCATCTGGAAGTCTGCCTCCTCGACAACGTCCTGCGCCCATCGCATCTGTATCATACTTCTCGCCTCGACCTCACGCTTCTTCTGCCCGCCCACGAACTTCAAGTTCTCGTTTCCAACAACACCCGTCGTGACAACACCAGTGCTCGGCGCACCAATTCCTTGCACCTGGCCATTACCGCCCTGCATAACATTCGCATAGCTCGATGACATGGTCTGTACTCCAGAAACAAAGTCCTGGCCGTCAAACTCGCAATGTCCTCCTGCGGGCGTGTTGTCCACTGTCTGCAATGTGTTGACCTGATCTGCGCTCAAACCTGCGTCCGCACCGAGCTGCTCGTAAGCTGTAACAGCCTGTGGAATGCTACCCTGAAGCAACTGGAGCTCACTCTGTGTAGATTGGAAGTGGATCCTTGTCTGAGACATGACCGTGGCAGCGTTCTGGAAAGCGACTTGTGGCGGCATGCCACCGCAGTTAAGCTCGACAGCCGAGTTGGCGTAGTTCTGCATCTGTGCTGGGATGAAAAAGCCGGACATCATCAGCGATCCGCCCGAGACACCTGTGAAGACGATGTTGGACATGTTAACTGCAACCCGTTGCGGCAGTTCGGTTTGGATGAAGTCGTTGACGGCCTGGGCGTGTGCTACACCATCTGTACGCTGAAGACCCGAGCCTCCTCCCCAGAACAGGTTCTTATCGGGTGCCAATAGAGCAACACCCATGGTATTGGCCTGAACAGCTTGGTTCGGCATGTCGAAGAAGCTCTGTCCACCGTCGCCGTGGAGCAACACGTTCGCGCCCAGGGTGCCGTTCGCCGATGTAGCTGCCGCACCGGGGACGCCCGAAGCTGGAAGGAATTGGTCTGCCGGTGCGGAGATTTTGAATCGAATTGGCAGGTTGTTGACCATGACCGTGTCATCTAGTATCATGGAGCCATCAGTGGCGGTAGAGATTCCCTGGGGCACCTGAGCCGCTTTTTGAAAGGCTGTCGCTTGTTGTGCGTTGCCGTTACCTCCGCGGTTGCGTTGTGGCAGCGCCGAAGTGAGAGAAAGCAGCGAGAGAGTGATGAGTCCGTACATGATTGCGATAACGAAGAGCTCAAAAGATGAAAATAGAAATTAGGTTATTGAAAGAATGGACCGGCCAGGGAGAAGAATCGAAAGAAGGGTGGCAGACGAGAGATACCGCACGGCAGTATAGCGGGAAGAGAAGAAAGGAAAGAAGTGTGGGGGATTCCCATACATCTATACTGCATGAACGGCATGCTACAAATCACGGAAAGGCCTCGAGCCTGCGAAACACAGTTTCTTTCACTCCTAAACGCGTACGAGTATAGCCAAGCCTACAGGTCAGAGCTTCGCCTTGCCTCTCTTTAGCTTAATATGACTGATTTCCACCACTGAGCGGTGTGGTCTGGACGAGGCGTATGGAAGGTGTGTTTGATGCGTGGATCTTGCAGCAGCTGTGGTTTGAGCTTGGAGGCCTTGGTGTTTCGGGCCGGGGCTTGGCGTACGATTGCAAGTAGCGAGGGTTTACAGAGCTACCTGAAGCGCGTCGAGCGTACGAGTAGTGCTATTCATAATTACATCTAGCTTCAGGGGCATTGTTGGAGATGTTGCGATGTTAATCGGCGTGAGCGGCAAAAGGAGCATCTCGGTGTAGAGGGTCCGTGCGCTGGACTGAGGCCGCCATCATCTGCGGGCATGATTCTCCCGTCATTTACACCTTCACATACTTGAGATGCTTCCTTCTGATTGCTTCTCATGATTTCTGAATCTATCTCTAGCAAGAGAATAACGATACAGACATTTTGTCTATGCAGTAGTCATTATAACCAAAACTGTATGAAGCCTAGGTACAAACAAACATCAGGACTTCATATTCCCCACAATCGATGCGCTGTTATTTGAGCAAAAAGAATTGAATTGACAACTTCATCGAATGGTAAGGGAGGCAAAAAGAAGATCACTGAATGCCACCTGGCCGAATCGCTACAACACTGTTAGTAATGGAATTTGAACCAAGTGCGGTTCCAACCTACAACGACCGATCTTCGCATATCGTAGCATGTACAAGTGCGACGCTTTACCACTTAGCCAAGGAGGCAATTGTTGATGACTAATAAAAATTAAATGGTACATATCGACACGTCAAATGTGGGCATGAGCACGTTCACGTGGTAAGCGAGGGTGTGGGGCGGCAGCGGCGACGATGTCTACGAGTGAAATTGGGGACTATCCGACTGTCAGTTAGGGCTACAGAGATAGAGAAACTGTAATGCAAGTAATGTGTGACTTTGATATTGTTATCTGATGGATAATCTCTTAAACAAAACCGCTATGCAAGATACCTAGAATCCCAAATGCTAAAGAAAAGGGTAGCTGTAATGCTAAAATAGCTTCCCAATCGTCCCCCAAACGCCACGCTTGTGCTCATGCAAATGCCTCGCTTCATAAATCGTCAATATCGAAAATAGCAGGAGGAGCCTAGGCAAGGCCGAAAACACCCCTCAAGCGCCTCCAGAGCTCCTTGCCCATGGCCTTTCGGGTATCCTCAGTGCGGAGCGCAGCTTCCTTGTTCTCACTTGCCCTCCTGAGCAGGAAGTTGAGGCACTCCGTTGTAGTACCCCAAGTCATGCACTTGACGACCTTGGCCTGGGTGTCTGCCTTCATGGTCTCGTCTTGGACTAGAGCCTGTGAGATCTCGTCGGCCATACCCTGGAGTTGGGCGTAGGTAAGACGAGGTAGGTTCTCTGGGGATGTGGAGAGCATTTGTTGGGCGCGGATCTTCTGGGCGGCTTGGACTGAGGCGAGGTTGTGGGTTGCGAGGACAATGTTGACCTTGGGGAAGGGAGTGCCTGGTGTGGGGGCGGGGACCTTGTCAGTCCATTGTTGGCGGACTACGGCATCAGCGAGGGCATCGTAGTTGGCGTCGGTGCCGGCTTTGGTATCAAAGGTGAGATGCTTGGGCTCGGATGTGAGGTAGGCGCCGCGTACAAGCTTGACACCAGCGATGTAGCCCTTCTTTGAGGCGCGCTCAAGGTGCTCGGCCAGGCGCTTCGAGATGTCGCGCAGGTAGCACTGGTATGTGATGTAGAGAACCGCGCGACCGTTCTCGGGCTTGTTGTACTTCTCCTGCAGGGCTAGTGTCCACTTCTCGAGTCCACGGTTGGTTGCCTCTTCTTCGGCACCAGGGAGGAGGCTGACACCCTTTGCGGCGGCGGCATCGCAAGCTGCCGTGATGGCATCCCACATCTCAGGGGTGGCATCTTGCTGGTTCTGGAGGAGGTTGAGGGCATGGCGACCGAGACCGGACCATCTACATGGTGGTTAATAGGTGCTTGTGTCTAAGCCATCGAGTCAAGACTTACTTCAGTCCAACAAAGTCACCCTCCTTCGCCATATCAACGCTCTGCAACATTCCCTTCCTCCACACCTCAATCTCCATCTTGGTCTCTTCGGCAGTCGGTGCCTTTCCGCCTAGAACCTCGAGCGCGTACTCAAACAGGATACCGCCGTATCCAAGCGTGCGTGCAAATTCGGTGTTCCTGACGACCTCATCTTTCTTCTCGCCAACGCAGTACTGCGCATAGAAAGTCTTCTTGAGTAGGTTGGACAGCACCGGGTTTCGCTCGATACTCAGGAGGAAAGACTTCGAGTCTAGCATGCGCCGTAAGATGCCGAAGCAAGCATTGAGCAGCAGAGGCCGGGATGACACGGCTGTGATGAGGTAGGATCGGAGGACGGTCTCTGTAGGTAGGCGTCCGAGGACTGCTTTTGTCTGCGCTATTTGCGACTCTGGCTGTGTCGACAGGAGTTGTGAAGTCGAGACTTGTGATGAGGCGGGGATAGACACATTCTGTCGTGCGCTCTGGGAGACGTAGCGCGGCGTCTGTGCAAGGGTTCGGGATGTGTGTGCGAGTGCGAGGCTCTGGAAGCGGTGGAGGTTCTGTCTCCGGACCATCATGTTGGAATGTGGGTGTAGTCTAGCGCTCAACTGGTTGTGTGAAAGGTGGTGTAGTTTGCACTTCGAGTTGGTGAATCGGCACGGGTTATAGATTTTCGGTGTATGCAAACTTGAGAGGGCGAGCAATTCTGGAGGTCTTGTGACTTGCTTTTCATTGTGGTGAAGGCCATATATACCATGGTTGGTACTCTTGGTGCTCCACGATATCGCACGCGATGCTCGGCTTGCGTCGGATGCGGTCATGTCGCACTAGTGCAGCTTCATTGTTGCTCCAGATGGTGCCAGACTGACGCAGACGCCGGCTTATCGCCCGCGCTAGACGGACCGATGATTGGACAATGCCGCAACGCGTTCCTGTGGAGTAAACGACATGTCTGGCATTCATGGCGACGCGATGGTGTTGAAGTTTGTTGCTGGATGTGATGTAATGACCGTTGTAGAGTTTGTGAGAAACTCATCGTGCCTGCTTCCCGTGTAAGCCGGTGACGTAGCATCATCAATTTCCAGTCTGCGATCCCTTGCTTTTGCCATGGCTTTGACCTCCAAGCTGCCATCGTGACCTTCGCAATGCCTGTTACCCCACAGTCGGCGAAATGCACAACCAGCCGCTCCTCACATTAGCGTCATCTTGCCAGCACAGCTCCGTTCGCGATCTGTGTTGGGTTTGCCG